TTGTGAGCTTCCATGGCGTCTCTGCTTTGTTCTGGGCCTGCTCTCGATATGGCTGCAGGCTCGCATGGTTCCGGTTCACTTCGAGGACGCGGTCGATTAGCGCATGAGGCTCGTCTGGAGATGGGGAGCCATAAAGGTGTCACCGGTGGCCACTTCCACAGCATTCGCAGCTAGTAGTCCTTCCGCGGATTGCTGAGCTAGGTTGTCTACTATAGCCTCAACAGTGCTCAGGTTGATCTGGTGTGCCACAAGGAAGGCGCGCGTACGAGCTGCCTTATCCTTGTCCTTCTGGGTCTTTAGCTCTTCCTGCTTTCTTGACAACGCGTCTGCCACCACGTTTGCGGTCCCTGGCCGGTAGGTAAGCTTCAGGTTGTAATCGGCTACCGTCATGGCCCAGCGCATTTGCCGTGGGGTGAGCTCGCGCTTAATTGAGAAGTACTCTAACGCTCGATGGTCTGTGAGGGCGCTGAATGGCTCAGTTGTTTGTAGGCCTATGAGCTGAGCTCGCCACTCGTGCAGGCCTTGTATTACAGCGAGCATCTCTTTGTCATGGATGTCGTAGTTCATCTGGGGCGCGCTCATAGTCTTTGAATAAAAGGCCACTGGTCGCCAGAGTCCGTCGTCCTGCAGCTGTGAAAGCACACCTGCTACGACTCCGTCGCTGGCGTCTGTCTCCATGCGTGTCTGGCGGTGGGACGAGTAGTGCGCGAGGACAGCGTCTGATAGCATTAGGTCCTTAGCTTGATCGAAAGCTGCCAGCTCGCGTTCTCCAAAGTGGTGCCAGGCACCGCGCTTGAGCAGCTTTGTGAGCGGTCGTACAATGCGTCCGTAGTCCTTCAGGAATGCTCGGTAGAAGTTGCAGAACCCTAGGAAGGATTGCAGGCTCTTGATTGATGTCGGTACAGGCCATTCGCGTACAGCTGCTACCTTCTCTGGGTCCTTGCGCATGCCGTTGGTGCTGATGATTAGACCTAGGAACTTTGTCTCTGTGACAGCAAACTCGCTCTTCTTAATGTCTACCT